TTGGGGTTTAGGGGTTTCGGGGGTTTAAACCTCGAACGGTGTAGGGTTTACCCATAAACCCCATAGTACTTCCTCTTTGGGATTACCTAACAGGATCCTAAATACAAGCCACAAAAAGGAACTACTATGGGGCCTATGGGTGGTTCATGGCTTCAACGATGAAGGTTTAGGGCTGCAAGGGTTTGGGATTTAAGGTTTTAAGGGTTTTTTTGGATTAAGGCTTTTTCTTATAGGGGCTGAGTACCCTAGCCCAAAAAAGGTTAACCTTTCCAATTCTTGTAGGATTATATAAACCCCAAAAGGTTAAAGGTTACCTACTCAGCCACTAAGTTTTGGATGTACATCTATCCAAAAAACCCCGCAACCCTAAACCCTAAACCCCTAAATCCTAAACCACTCAACCCTAAGGCTTTTTGGGTGTACATGAATCAAGGCCTCTGTTGTTAGAACTTAAAGTCTCCCTACAGTCCATAAGTAGCCCTAACCCAGAGACTCCAAAACCCTTTAATGAAGGAATATACCTTATATTATAATAGGAACCCCTAATAAGATTTAAGGTATATTCCTTAATTAAGGGGTTTTGGAGTCTCTGGGAACCCCCGCCTAAACCCTGAACCCCTAAACCCCCTAAAAAAGGGACCCTGCACAAAAAAGAACAGTATGCAGGGTCGAGGCTTTGGGATTGGAGGCTTTCGGGGCTTTCGGGTTCAGAGTGGGGCTCTTTTCTTGAGATCTTGGAGGTAGCACGACAGGTTTAAAGCTGCGACGCAAGAGAAGATTCACAAACCTTTACACCATGCCCCAGAGAACTACCTCAAAGAGCTACCTCTACAACCCCCCCTCTCCCTGCACACACACACAAGGTCTCGAAGTTGGGGCTATGTGGGTTGTTTGTTGCAAAGCATGGGACTGAGGAGATTCACCCAGTCACACCCAATTCCAACTTATTCAGTAGGTCACGGTCCCTTGGGGTGCTGGATCAACCCTTGTATGTAGAGTATGAAAACGCAATGCGTCGGTATCTGGAACAGCAGATCCCAGCCAAGACTCCTTTTTCCTCCGCAGCACGATCGAGTGACGGCAATGAAACCGCAGCACCCCGCCAACTAAGACGTACACATGTAGCCCAGAAACCGTCAATCGCGAATTCCATGTTCATAAACCCTAAGCCGAGACCGTCACCTTAACACCCCCAAAGATGGACCAGCACGTTCCGAAAATAGGGGGTACCTTATTTTGGGGTCCTTATAATAAGGATCCTACTATTTAGGGTGCTATATTAGGGTCCCCTATTTTCGGAAACTCCCACTGGAATGCTCAAGCAACAATTGCGCGATCTCAGCATGCCCGTGTTGGGATGCGAGATCCCATGCCGTGGTGCCGTCGGGCTGCGCTGCCCTTGCATCCTTGCAGCTTCAAAGTTTGTTTAGGGTTTAGGGTTTAGGGTTTAGGGTTTAGGGGTTAGGGTTTAGGGTTTAGGGGTTTGGGATTAGGGTTTAGGGATAGGGTTTAGGGTTAGGTCTTACGGTTTTTCACGGCTTTCACTGAAGCCAACTCAAGCTGAAACCCCAAAACCTCAACCCTGAGCCCCCCTGGACCCTCAGCCCCCGCCTTGAACCCTAGAGCCGTAGACATGAGGCTTCCGTCTCAGCTTCGAAAGGATATAACAACTTGACGACAAAAAGGACTTAGGGCTTGAAAAGTTTTAAGGGTGTAGGGGCTACGGATTCTATGAGAGCTTAGCCTTGGGATTCCGAAACCACCTAAACCCTAAACCGAAGCCCCGGAAACCCCGAAAGGTCTGGAATCCCTCAGCCGAACTAACACCGACGTGTTCAGGATCTTAGGGTCGGCGCCCATTTGCCAAACCCACGCCCAAGTTTCCCCTGAGGGTCCAAACTGTTGATGGACAGATTTTGTCCATCAACAGAAGTACCCAAACTAGCAGCCCTCAGCCCGATGGTAGTTCCCCGGAGAACCCAACTTACCCCTTAAATATACCTTAAATTATTCGGGCCTTGATATTACGATTTAAGGTCTATTCCTTATAGTTAAGGGGTGGGCTCTCTGGGTTATTGTAAGGGTTGAGGGTTTGGGGCTTTAGGGTTTAGGATTTAGGGACTTAACTTTCAAAGGATAAGACTTTTGGGTCCTTGCGCCCTTTTGATTTCCGCAGTCAAAAATCGCAGAGAAACAGAAGGTCGAGACGCGGGCTAAAAGCGACCAGGGCTTCTTTAAGGGCCTAGATGCCCCTAAACCCTAAACCCTAAAACCTAAACCTTAAACCCCAAACCCTAAACCCAGATGGGTTCTTGGTCGGTCCCGATAAGAATTCCCCCCTGTGCCACTCTGAGGATTTCTATTCTCTGGAAACAGTTCAGGGTTCGACGTGATTCGTTTAGGGTTTTGGGTTTAGGGTTTAGGGTATACTGATTAGGGGATTGTGTCCCCTAGGAGAACCTTCCTGAACGCGGAAATCTACACAGAGAGGTACCCTCATCTCAGTTTTGGGAGTTTCAACCAGTGGGTTCCGGATCGGCGTTCAAGGCTTGGGGCATGAGCTTTCGGGATTTCGGGGTTCGGGTTGTTTGTGTCGAGTCCACCAAACCGAAGCACCTAATCCTCCTTTGCTCCACTAAATACGAACCCGACATCCACAGGCAACCACTAGCTCTCAATCTTCTGACACCCCGGACTACCCTTCTATGTAAATATATATATATATATATACATATATATATATATATACATATATATATATATATATATGGAAAGATACATTTGTATATATATATATATACACACATACATGTACATATAGTATATATAAAAAGATAAAACCAGTATGCACAACTCTTAAATCGGACAGGGTTTTGGGGTTCCCTGGGCGCAGGATGCAAGCAGAGGACTGCGCGCCCTTGCAGGAGCAGGCGCACCACCTCAGCAGTCTCCAAGCCCGGACGTTCCCAAGTTTCAGGGCAGGGATAACCTATCTAATGTAGGGGCCTTAATACTTAGAATAGGGTTTTGGGGTCCTTTATAGTATAGTTATAATGAGGAACCCCCAAAATGATATAGGTAAGTATAGAGGCCTCTATATGACGACGCATTTACGCATTGCCCAGCTCATGTAGGCAAATGCAACAAATTCAGCGAACCAATGAAACAGGTCGATAACCAATAAACCTCTTCATCAATAACCCCATGAAACACAAACAAGCTATAGGTACGTTCGCACGTACGTAAGTATGTATGGTAAATACAAACACATTCATGGATTCCCTTCACATGCGTATCTCTATTAAAAAAACATATATACATATATATATATATATATACATACACGTATATGCATGCACACATACATACTTATACATACACACACGCACGTTTTTGAAATTTCGCTGCAAGGTGCGATGCTAAGTGTTGCTTGAAATATATGTGGAGCGAGGTGGCCAGCAGGCGACCAGTCAAGGCTTCACGAACATACAGCATCGAGCGTTTAGCCCAGAGAGCCCAATACCCCTTAATTAAGGAATAAACCTTAAATCATAATATTACGGCCCCTATAAGTTAAGGTATATCCCGTAATTCCCTTAAACCCTAAACCCTCATAGATGCCTTTAAGGAGCCCTTTATGTAAAGGTCTATTCCTCTTTTTAAGAGGGGTATTGGGTTCTCTGGGAGGGTTGAGGGGTAGAGGGTGCAAGGCTTAGCCTCCAAACCCTAAACCCTAAACCCTAAACCCCAAATCCTAAACCCTAAGCACCGGCACATTGGCCATCAGTTGCCCCCCCAAACACCCGAGATCTAAACTTTACGTGCTGGGGCGAGGCCTTGAAGCTTCAATTTTTAGGGGGTTTAGGACCTCGGGTTTAGGGTTTAGGGGTTTAGGGGTTTAGGGTTTAGGGTTTAGGGTCTTAGGGTTGAGGGGTTTTCAAGTCTAGGATACGGTCTTTCTTGGGATTTCTCGGTGGGAGGGCCTGTGGGGAGTGAGATCTGAAGCTTCTGATGGCTGCGCGAGAGCCGTAATCCGATAACCCACAGGGTTCCAAAACATAAAGCCATCGCCCCCCCCCCAAATCTCCCAAACCCTTTAATCCCAGAGACTCCAATATCCCTTTATTAAGGAATATACCTTAAAATCATAGTCGGGACCCTACTATAGTTTAAGGAAGGTTCCCTAATTAAGGGATGTTGGAGTCTCTGGGATCAAGGCTTCTTCCTCAACAACAACAGGAGACCCTTGATTCACGCTTCTCAACACAAGGAAGGCCAATGATGATTCAGGGCCCAGAGAGCCCAATACCCCTTAATTGAGGAATTTACCATAAAATCATAATATTAAGGCCCCTATAATTTAAGCCCTAAACCCTAAACCCTAAACCCTGGATATTCCTTATTTAAGGGGTATTGGGTTCTCTGGGGGTATCTTGTGCAAAGAAGGGGCTTCGCAGTCTCCAAGTATCCCGTACCCTACAGGTCCTCCAAGCGCAGATCATTGAGTTCTTTGCCCTAAGGGTCCAAGGACCCATTATTTAAGGACTTTGGGGCCTTTTTGGGTGCCTAAAACCATAAATAAGGACTACTTGGACCCTTAGGGTTGGGTTTCACCATACGGACTCTATGGTTTCCCTAGCTCGGCTCTCTTAAGCCCGGAAACAAACTCACGGGCTTAAACCATGTACAAGGTCACGCCACAACGTAAAAGCCTTCTTCACGGGGCTTATACAAAAAAACCCTTAAACCAACTGATAGCACCAGAAACATCTTTGCGACCCTAAACCCTAAACCCCTAAACCCCTAAACCCCTAAACCCTAAACCCTAAACCCCTAAACCCTAAACCCTAAACCCTAATGCTTGCTCTGGAATCTCTGAGTCCCCTGGCCTCGAAATGTCCCACCTGGCAGCTGTGGTGGCTGTAGAGCTAACAAAGATTTCTCATGGCTTCATCAGGGGGTTTAGGGTTTAGGGTTTAGGGTTTAGGGTTTAGGCATCAGGGATTCTGGAGGTCTTTTACACTTTAACCTGTTTTTACCGTGGTATGGACTTCAGAGATGGAATGGAGGTGCTTAGGGTTGAAGGCCTTAGGTCTTCGGGTCGAGGGTGTGCTCGGATTCCCCCAAAGCATCAACCCTAAACCCTAAACCCTAAAAGTATCCCTCATGGGAACTTCTGCTCCTTCATGACATGTCGGGCTATACCCGACCGCCTACCTAAAGCAACGCTATTGCCAACATAGCTATATGGACACCCTAACTTTATGAACAACACGATTTCAAAGGATCCGGAAATATACCGTCCATTACAAGTCTTATACATACGTGCATGCATGCATGTTTGCATACATATATTTCTATCATACACATACACATACACACATACAGACATACATACAAAGCAAAAACAAGTAAATATCAGTAAGCAAATGAACAAATAAATAAAACATAAATGAATACATAAGTATATGTGTGTATATATATATATATGGTTGAGCTCCGGCGGCATGGCATCCCCAGTTGGTCATCCCCCTTCCTCACCCTGTGGAGCGGTTTGGGTCTGCAGCTTGCGTGTGGAATGGGTTGGGTGGTTTGGTTTAACCCTTAGCCGAAAGACCCTGATTGATGTAAGCGCCTTACTACTTGAAATAGCGTTGTTGGGGTATGTAATACTCTAAAACTAATGGGGAACAGTAGGGAATAGTATCGGTAAGCTTTGAGGATTCTATATCATTAGACCGCATGATACCCGGCCTTCAAGCGAGTCGGAAATAATGGGCCGTTCAAGCCTTGAAACCATGAAGCCTCCAACATACAGGCACACGAAGATTGTCATATCATATTGTATGTCTACATAATTGCCAATCATTCCCAAGCCCTCATTTAACATGATAGTGCCTCCAAAAGGATTAAAAACTCAATGTACGGAATATGAGTACTGCTCCTCAAGCCTCCATATCAAGAGCCTCACCGTTGATGATATAAATCCTGCACTACCCATCAGGAGGAATATACCATAATTCCCATAGTTTAAGGTCCTTAAGCTAGTGCAGGATTTCTATCATCAACAGTGTCTCCGGTCCCTCGCCTGGCAGGCGAGTGCCAGCGCTGTCGCCCCACCCACCGTGCAGGCTGCGTTCGGGTCCTGGGACCAACTCCACGGTCTTCGTGGGCCGATTGGGGGTGCTGGGTTTCAGCGTTGTGGGTTTCCTTGGATTGATTATGCTTGAAAAAACGTCCATACATGCATACATACATACATATGTATGTGTATATATATATATATGTATATGTATATATATATATATATACATATATATATATACACACATACATATGTATATGTATATGTATATGTATATGTATATGTATATGTATATGTATATGTATATGTATATGTATATGTTTCTGTATATGTATATGTATATGTACATGTATATGTATATGTATATGTGTAAAGTGTTTACATGTGCACATGTGTATCTATATACACACGTTCACGCACACACCTTTTTGTCGCATGCATACAGATACATGGATATGTACGTACATGCGCATATGCATATACTGTACAGGCACAATGCATATGCATATGCAGATACATATTTAATGCAGATGCGGGCACATATTCATGTACCTATGCTACAGAGGCACATGCACATACCGCACACCCGTACCTGCACACACATACGTCCATCCATTCGTCCATCCATCCATCGATCCATACATCCATCCGTCCATACATGCATCCAGGGCCATCCATCCCTTCCCATCCCTCCATCCATCCAACACATGCATGCATGCACATACACATTCACGCGCACGTGCACCTGGCAGACGTGCACGCTCGCATGCACGCACGCACGCACGCAAGCATGCATGCTCCCACGCCCGCACGCGGGCCCGCCAGTCCGCCCGCCCGCCCGCGCACGCACACACGCACGCAGACACGCACGGAAGGTCGCACCCATACACGCACACAAACTCACACATAGTTTCAGATCCCGGATTGCCGAGCGATGTTGCCGTAGCTTTTGAAGGTTGGATGCTCATGCTGTCAGCTTGCTGGGAGCCATGAGCAATGAGCAGCCTTCCGTGTGATTTTTGATTTGTTTGCGTGTCATTGTACTGTTGCAGGCGAGTGCGGGCCCGATGAGTCGCTTGGATGTTGTTCCGTCTTTTGGACCCTTCACATCCGTGCCTCCTTTTCTTTTTGACGTTGCATGAGGAGCATACGTGAGTCTGTATGCAGGGCAAGGCAGGAACGACGAGAGGAGCTACTCGTACCAAGTCGTACTATCAATGCTATAACTGATATAACACCATAGCAAGCGAACGTGCTATCCTGGAGCCCACTCAACGTTTCCATGCGATCACCACGAACAGAACGGAATCCAAGGGTGCTGTGCTTCAGCCTTGACGGGGATGCCTTTGGCAATGGGATGATGGAGCCTTTGCCACAAAGCAGGGGTGTGGCTGAATAGGCACGCTTCGCAGTTGGTGATCAGATTAAATGCCTCAAGGCTGTGGAGCCCTGCAGGGTTGACAATGCGATAGGCGGTACTGTAAGATTTTGCAGCATTTTTTGCCACGCATTTTTTTGCATGCCATCGCGTAAGCTTTAGGCCGAACATGAGCCTCGTGGATGTGAGAAACTGAGGGAAGCTTTTCGCGGTCCTGCTACAGCAGGGAGCACGGCTGCCCCCAGGTGCTGGGCGTAACAGCTGGCAGAGGTTTGGTTTGCCGTAGCCAGGTTAAGTGTGAAGCTTGTAGTCGCATGTTGCAGTGTCCGAGAGTCTTGGTGCTATGCTGGACACGGCTGCATTAGGAAAATCGTGAGGGGGTCGACAGTTCTTGGCAGAGAGGGGGTCCAGAAAGTGCTTGCCAGACTTCGCCATGAAGGCATGCTCGCATACTCGTTGAGATACACCATCCACCACCACCTCCATCGCGTCGCTTCAAGTGGGTTGCCAAGCCAGGACAGTGGCACGGACGACCACGGGCAGTGCAACGAGGCCGTCCGCCCTTCCATGGCTTGGATAACCGCACGAGGTGCCGTAGTACCGTAGGGCAGTGGTTTGTTGAATCCTTTTTGGAGTCTCAACCATCCCGAATCCCCAAGATTCGATCTTCGGGCCGAGGAGAAAGCGGATGCCTGCGTCCCTTCGGAACTGGAAAACCTCAGCCCGGATGTGGGAGCGGTGCCCTGGCACACACTTTTAAGGTTTTTAGATGCTGGACGGTTGGGTTCCGTTTGAAGCCCTGCTCCCAGGACTTTTGGACAGAGGATCTTTGCAGGAAGGCCGCAGGTGGGACCAGTTTCGTGCCTCTGCCGGATGTTTTTGCAGCTTGCCTTAGCAAAGTCGCAGCGTGTGAACCTGCGCCGCAACTCAAGGGCCGGGGCAGGGCGCGCGCCCTGTGGGCCGCTGGTACAGTAGCAATGAAGTTCTGACTTGGTGCCTTGCTGCGCGCCGCGCATGGCCATGGCGAGCAAGCAGTCGGAGGATTTGGAGTCCTCTCAGACCAAGAGCTACGGCGCTGTTGATGAAGCTGGACAGCAAGCTCAGGAAGCTCAGGGGACTGCCCCTGCCCCGACGGCCGTGTCGGTCTTGCTGCAGGCGATCATCTATGCATTGGCCATCCTGCTGCTGGCCCTGATCTTTGTGATTCCTTCTCCACTTGTTGACCCTAAAGGTGAGGGACACCACGCCGAGAACATCAAACAGGGCCGGCAGATGGTGATGCGAAACATTATTTACGGGACTTTGTCAGCGGGCTGCCTCGCTTACTTGATGCATCTTCTCAAGCAGCCACTCATACTGGGCTATTTGCTCGGAGGTGTGCTGGTTGGCCCTATCGGGCTTCGCCTGGTGGTCGAAGAACAAGAGATTGCGACCATAAGCGAGCTTGGCTTGATCTTCCTTCTATTTATGATCGGGTTGGAGCTGAACGTCAAGGAACTAGCACGACTCGGAAGCAAGATCTTCCTGTCAGGCTTGATGCAATTTCCTATATGCGTGGTACTGCACTCGGTCGTGTTTGCTGCTTTGGCCCACTTTGGGTTTCCAATCTGCCGGTCTCGCCTTGAGACGATCTATCTTGCCGTTTGCTGCGGCATGTCCTCCACGATGATTGTGGTGAAGAAGCTCCAGGATGCAAATGAGACCAAGACAGAAGCTGGGCAGATCTCCATCGGAGTTCTCATTTTCCAGGACGTGTGGGCGATCGTGGTGTTGGCGCTGCAGCCAAACATCAACGACCCCCGGCTCGTGGGAATCGCCCGTACCTTCGCAATAATGCTGGCGCTGATCTGCGTTACGTTCCTCTATGCTAAATACGTGCTTCGCCCGCTCATGAAAGCGGTGGCAGGGTCTTCCGAGATGAGAATGATCCTTTTCGTCTGCCATGAGCTCGGCTTGTCATTGGGGCAGAACTACTCGGTTCAGGTAGCGAATAGGGCAGAAGTGGCAGCAGGTTAAATCCTCCTGAGGCTGGTGTTTCTTCGTGTGTGCTGCGGCCATGTTGCCCTTCGTGAATGTCTCCATTGAGCTGGCGGCGCTGGTTGCGGGAGCTTCGCTGGCAAGCGCCCCTGGTACACCGGCGATCAGCAAGACCATCCGCCACATCCGTGACTTCTTTGTAACCTTGTACTTCGTTTCCCTGGGCAACTCGGGGGCATTGGTGACGAATTCGGACTCCCCGTAACTTAGGGAACCGGAACTGACGCCCTCCAGTACATGCGACAACGCAGGACACAGGATGTAGTGGAGCAGTCATCCAGCCCTGTGTCTGACCTGTACTCAGGTATGCAGATCCCATACCCCACAAAGCACGTCTTCTCCTGCGCTTGCATCGTCTCGGTGGTGGCTCTGCTGAATGTAATCTGCGCTGGTTACACCAAAAAGGCCTTGCTTACCTTGGCCAGAGCTGTTCGCACTCTGGTTAATGTAAACAAGGCTTCTTGATGTAAGCGATTCAGTTTACATTCAGCAGAGCCACGGTTTAGGTGGTCATGGCAACGCGCTGGGTGGGCGTTTTCTGTCCCATCTACGGCTGCGGGGGGGAGCTTGGACCTGCAACCCGTTCCACCATCAACCTCTCGCAGATCAGCGAATTCGCTATGGTCATCACAGCCATTGGATGCAAGCAGGAGCACGTGCCCAAGGAGACCCTGACACCTGTCCGGCTCGGAAAGAGCTGTCTTTGTCCTGTGCTCTTTGTCGACGCTGGGGCTCAAGTTTCAGTCCCGGTCTCTTGCGGAGACTAAGGACCATACTGTCCTGGGTGTTTGTGATCCTGGCAGTCCTTTCCTCGCCGCTGATGGACCATGGCTCTACCATGGGCGAGCTGCTCTATGCGAAGGCCCTGCGAGTTGAAGTGGGGCGCCACAAATGGGCTTTGGCTGCTTTGGTGATCTGCTTTGTTTCGATTTGCCATTTCGGTGTGTTTGAGTGGCAGAAAGTTGCCCGTTGCCGAGAGGCCTTCGAACTGGAGCAGCGGCTGTCGCCTGGCGAGCTAGCTGATGAAGTAAGGGAAATCGAGGGGCGATGTTCTCGCCTTTGTCCAATCCTTCCTCGTCCTGTGCTTGTTGACATGAATATTCCGTTGTCCCGTAGTGCGGTCGCGACTTCGGGTTTAGGAGGGTTCTTTCTGGGTTGTACGGGTAGTGATGCGCTCCTGACAGTGCATTTCCCCGGGTCACGGGTGTGTGCAAGTGTGCTCGCGATCCCCGAACACAACTTCGCTCCTGCTGGACGTTCGTGACATATGTCTCAGGATGAGTAACCCGAACAGACATCACCATCACCATCACCATCACCATCACCATCACCATCACCATCACCATCACCATCACCATCACCATCACCATGACCATCACCATCACCATCACCATCACCATCATCACCATCATCATCATCATCGTCATCGTGTGTATCAAAATAAAAGCATCCGTACAATGAGCTTGGTAGGCATGTCGATCGCAGTCCTCGTCCGCTTCATAA